ATATCGTTTATAACTTAGTCCAACTTTATCTCATATATATGATTGAGATATTTAAGGATAAACGGCCTTTTAAAGTTTGGACACATTTTTTTTAAAGATAAATGGTTTATTTTACATAATTATTTTTTTTTATGTTTTGTGCAGCGTTAAATACAAAAATACATAAGAAATTCAATACAGCTTCAATTCTATTCAATTGAAATTTAATACGGTGACATTGATTCTTTATTTAAAATAATAATCATCATGATTTCTTTTAAGGACTGAGCGATAAAACATGTATGAAATCGATATTTATAATTCAATACAACTTTATCTCATATTATGATTTAGATATGTAAGGGTCAAAAGAAATTTCCTTTATTTCCATGAAGAGAAATAAATTCTTAATTAAAAATTCAAATTTGTAAAGTTTGGGTAATTTTTTTTTTAATTACAGAAATCATTTATTTTACATAATTATTATTTCGATGTTTTGAGCTACGTTAATATAGGCCTGATGGCCGTAGATATGAGCGTAGATAGAGCCTGATGGCTGAGTGGCTAGCACTCGGTGCATCAGGTTTCGGGTTTGGTAACATGGGTGTTTGTAGTGGAATCCACTTTAAACTATAGGTCCCGGTGTAATATAATCGTAGAGTGTTGTCTTGAAGTTTAGTTAGTCAGTTTCTCGCTAAAGTGCATATTGCCCTTACCCATGGACAGTCGCCTGCGACGGGATCTTCTGGACCTGGTGTAGGAAAGCCTATACCAGGGGAATTACTAACAACAACGCTAATATAAAAATGCATATGAAATTCAATACAGTGATACTGATTATTTATTTAAAATAATAATTATCATGATTTTCTTAAGGACTGAATAATAAAAAACGTATGAAATCAATATCATTTATAATTCAATCCAATTTTATGTCATATATATGATTGAGATATTTAGAGGTAAAAGGAAATTCCTTTATTTCTATAAAAAGAAATGAATTCTAGATTAAAAATTCAAACATTTAAAATTTGGACACATTTTTTTAAGATTACACAAATGGTTATTTTACATAATTGTTATTTTTATGTTTTCAGCTACGTTACATATAAAAACACATATGAAATTCTATACAGTTATATTGATTAAATAATTGATTGATAATTGTTTAAATAATCAATATCAACAATAATAATTATGCTTTTTTTTAAGGACTGATTGATAAAATACGCATGAAATCAAAATAATTTATAATCCAATCCAACTTATCTCATGTTATGATTGAGATCTTTAGGGATAAAATAAAATTCATTTATTTCCATGATGCGAAATAAATAAAAGTTTGAATTTTTAATTTAGAAAAGTTTGGACAAGATCACACAAATGGTTGATTTTACATAACTATTATTTTGATGTTTTGAGCTACGCTAAATATAAAAACACATATGAAATTCAGAAATGCATCTTTTGTCTGCAAAAACCGGATTTACAAAACAGGTTCTTTACATGAACGCAACTTACTAATTATAAATGACATAGAACTATACAGCCAGACAAAGTAAAATTTTGTTTTAAAGTTTAATATGTTATATAACAGTATGTAGTTTAATGTATTAATAGTTTTATATGGCCGTGGAAATTACAGGAGATATAACTTTTGATAAAGTCAAATTACAGTATATCAGCTTATGAGCGCTTTGGACATCTGATGAAAAACAGTCACGAAGACATCAAAAAATGACCTGCATATTAAGTATATGTCTACCAAGAAGAGAAAAGTATACAAAAGCAAAAAAATACAGATATGTCAGTGACAAGCTTGTTAAAAGAGTGGGCATTTTAACATAAAGATAATAAAGATAGACATAAAACTGTTGATTATAAGTTTTACAAAATATTTTTATGGCTTTAGAATAAATTACTTAAAGAATAAAATTGTTCTCAAATTTTGTTTTCTTACTACGGTGGGCCTCAGGTTTACAAAAAAAAAAAAAAAAAGCCAAAAACAACACACAAGGAGGAGGATATTGCCTCCTAGGTATATTTTTGGAGGTAATTACTGTGTATTTTTGTGTGTTGTATATGAGGAAACCCGGAAACTCTCACCAGACAGCCTGACAGTCAATGTAAAATATATCTTCACACTATTCGTGGGTAAGCACTCCTCAGGACAGATACTAAAAATAGGTTTATTGTAGCAGTAGGAAGGTTTATCTAACTCTACTAACTCAAGATTGGTTTGGTTTGTCGCTCTATGGTAATTTTGTACACAGTTTAGGCTAATCTGACCGGGACCTACAGTTTAACGTGAATTCCGAACCACTCACAAACATACATGCCACTGCCAGGATTCAAAGCTGAAGCCTGTGGTACCAACGGCCAAAGAGCTACCTAATTGGCCATCAAGCCGCAGTAAAACTAGGATAGATATAACAAATTGTATAAAAGAGAACTGAATGGAAACAATGCATTTATTATCCGTTTTTCTACTGGGCAATGTTTTCACCCTCATGGCAACAGGGCTTGAAAATGCATAATTTTTTTTTTTTTTTTTTTCATTTTAGCTTATAAATGGGTTTTGAACTTAAGGTACATTTTTGGGAAAAGGAGCGCCTACCGATGTATATCCTAAATCCATTTATAAGTCAAAATAATAAGGAAGTTTGTTTTCACCGCCGAGAAAATTGTGCTATATGTATGAGGTTTATATTATCAAGTTGATTCATGTTATATTGTTTTCTCATAATGACAAACATCGTTTCAGAAGATAAGCATTGTTACCTGGGAAAGTAAAGTTTTGTTTGTCGCCCTATGGTCATCTTGTGTACACGAGGATTAAACAAACTGGGAACCATAGTTTAAAGTGGATTCTGAACCACTAACAGACATCCATGCCATCACTAGGATTCGAACCTGAAACCTGTGATACCAATGACCACTTGGCCACCAGGTCACGGAGAAAGTGAAGATAAAAGGTGGTAATGTTTTTTTGGGAGACTTTTAGGTTTGGTTTGCCACTCTACGGTCATTTTGTGCACACTTCGGGCTAATTAGACCAGGACCTATAGTTTAACATGGATTCCGAACCACTCACAAACATCCATGCCGCAGCAAGGATTCAAGCCTGAAGCCTGTGGTACCAAAGGCCAGAGCGCTACCCAATTGGCCATCAGGCCATACTAATTCAAGAGAACGCTTTTGCAATGAAATGATAATTTGAAGCTTAGCAAAATGTACGAAATCAAATAGAATACTTATGCTAACAATTGTTAACAGCAATTAATAAGAGAAAAAAATTACTTATAATACCTGTGATAATCGTGATTTCATAGTAATACATGTAATCCTCATTTCTCCGCCAAGACCGGCGCCACATTTTTATAATCCAATAACGATGACAATCAATGAAGCTCCTTTCGTACACTAACCCACTTTTCAAACCACAGATACCCTTGAAGTCCTTGCCTGAATAAAATTAAATTTTGATTCTATGCTAAACGATTTTCTATGCAAAATACTATGTATGCAGCACGTGCAAAGGTCAAAAGGAATAATTATACGACTATATATATATATATATATATATATACGGCGTTGGTATATAGACCTCACTTAATAGTTAAACCACAATTTTTTTAGTAATAAGTGAAATTTTACCATGAGTTGCACAAGATTAGTAAGCAACAAAGGTTGCATTAATAAGCAAGAAATCACTAAAATATTTTCATAACAACTGAAGAAATTATAAACAACTAACAGCTTAAAAAGCATTCCAATCAGATTTTCAAGGTGAAGATCGAATTTGCTTTTTTTCATTTGCGATACAAAGCACGTAAGAAAGTTTTGAGCGCCATGTTTCTGAGATTATCGATCAGTAATAGGAAAAAAAAAAATTTTTCGGCCAAAATTGCTGATGCCAAACACGAAATAAATTCACAAAATTATATGTTTGACCAAAATAAATCATTTAAAGCAGAAGTCTTAACAAATGCTTTGGAAAAAAATATTATTTATTCTTTACAATTTTTATATCTAAACAAAATGTTATTCTAAACTATTCATTAAAAAAAATGAAGGCTATCATGTCTTTAAAAATTAATTATATTTTTCATGTTCAATTTCTTAGCAAAGTAAAATTAATTCTGGAAGTTATGTAATTATAGGTTGGCATTGATAGATCGCATTATTTATAGATAAATATTATTATTAACAGGGCCTGATGGCCGAGTGACTGACGCTCTGGCACTCGGTGCCACAGTTATCGGGTTCGAGTCCCGGTGATGCCATGGATGTTTGTAGTAGTTCAGAATTCACTTTAAGCCGTAGGTCCCGGTCTAATATGACTGTTAGGCGTAAGGCTGATAACTCTACCCTGTAAAAAGTCAACATCACGGAACCAAGTCAGACTTCTACCTATGGGTGCTCTATCACAACAGAAGCTGCTTCCCCCCCCCCATTTCCACGCAGTGGAAGTTGTTGGGATGGGGTTGATAAATATATAGATAAGCTTGTGAGAATTCAGAGTTTATAGAGTTCGTAAAAGAATGACTAGCCATTTGAGCCAGTTTTGAAATTAAAAAAAAAAAAAAAAAACTATCCGGACCAATCAAATTGGCCGGTAGTAAACCCCGCCCCCCCCCCCCCCCCAAAAAAAAAAATTACCTTGTAGAAGGTTGAATTCTCTATCAGTGTAAGTTGAAGTCACTGCTTGCAAAAATGTGATGATTGCGATTTGTTGTTTGTTGTTTCTTATCCCACTTGGCTGGCCAAGCCCACGAGCCCATACGTGCTCATGATTGAAGGGGAAGGAAGCAGCTTCTGTTGTGATGGAGCACCCGTAGGTAGAAGCCTGACTTTTGCTCCGTGACGCTCTTACAGTCATAGGAGACTGGGACCTACAGCTTAAAGTGGATTCCGAACCACTACAAACATCCATGGCACCGCCGGGATTCGAACCCGAAACCTGTGGCACCGAGCGCCAGAGCGCTAGACACTCGGCCATTCAGGTCCCAAATTTTCCAACGGCACGCGGTGTTCCCAGGTGGTCACCCACCCAAGTACTGACCGCGCCCAATGATGCTTGACTTCGGTGATCTAAACGAGAACCGGATGATTGCGATAATGTATATAAGTATCTCTGATTGTCTGGTGAGAGTATTCTGGATTTCTCCTATACAACACGCAAATGAAGGGCAGTTTCCTCTAAAATTCCTTCCGAAGGAACGTATTTTCTCATACTTTTCGTTAGATTCTTGTACAAGTGAAATAAAAAACAACAAGTATTCCATGCACGAGTAAATCACAAAAATATCCCATACAAAGCTAAGTTCAGACTTCCTGCGCCAAATATCCTCAGATTTAGACAAAAGAAAGTACTATTTTTACACATGAGATTGTAAAATATAAAATAATAATAATAAATAAATCCTTAAATGTAATTCAATTGACTTACATGAATGACTCCTACTAAATGCAAAAACAAGAACTAAATATGCATTTTAATGGAGGAATAATAAACAATCGATTCATAATTGCTCAAGAATAAAAAATATAGGTTACGTCGAAGACACTGAGGTAAGAAATTAACTGATATAATTTATAATTCATGTAATACAAAAAAGTTTCATGTATAGTTACAATCTTTTTAAAATTCAACTTGTGTCTCAGCCGTGGGTATTACAATTGTGATTACTATTATCATCCAAACAGGAATCGGTCAATTTGAATTAATGTTACATTAGTGCTGTATAATGATATCCTGAAGCTGACTTTTAACGCTGTAAAGTAGGAGTAACAACTAGATTCAGGAGTTCTAATTAGCTGTCTGGATGTAGTATTTTTTTTGTAGGTTTGGCATCTGCGCATATTTTCCTTTTCATTAAATGAATTTTTATCGTTATCTGAAATAAATGCTAGCTCCATTCAACTGTCAATCGATTCTCACATCTAAACACGCATTTCCTGATTCAATTACAGGCATTTAAAATGTTTCGGAGAAAAACTTTATTCAAGTCAACTTAAATTAATTTTGCAATTTTCAAGCAAACTATTCATGCATCAACAGGAAAAATAAACTTAGAAAATAATAGAACAACAGAAATAAATTATTAAAATAAAAATTAGCAACTGTAGTGCAATCCAATGGTGTTATTTTTCCTTTTTAGTCATTTACGAAACCTTTATTAATAGAAATTTTCCATGCACTCTAATTCCTCCCGTTAAATTTTTGCTAAAATTGAGTGATTAATAATTAAATGAACATAATGAAGGTTAAAATTTAATGCTAGTATCCTCTGCAGAGGTATTATAAACTCGTTCACACATCAGAAAATGTTACATTTAAATTTAAGTTATTTTTAGAAATGTGCTGACTCTATGGCGATAGTGACAGCCAGTGTAATGATGTTGCATCGAAAGGATTACAGATGCGGTTTGGTTTGTCGCTAAAAGGTACACAGCCTATCGCTCTGTGCACACTTTAAGCTAATTAGACCGGGACTTACAGTTTAACATGGATTCCGAACCACCAACAAGCATCCAGGATTCGAATCTCAAGCTTGTGGTTCCAAATATGCCAGAGCGCTAGCCATCAGGCTGCAGGGCCTGACAGAAGTAAAGAACAAACAAATGAATGAAAAAATACTAAAAACGTCCAATAAATTATTCATTTAAAAGGACACATACATTACAAAAGAGAAATAGAATAAAACGTGAAGGAGAGAAAGGATTTAAGAAACATTAAATTTATAAATTTACAAAAGGCTGTAAGAGCAGTCCTTTTGCTTTTCTTATTAATAATGAAATTTATGATAAGCGCAATGGAGAAAAATTATGGCATTCATTATTATGTTGAATATTGGAATCTGATTAAATAAATGACCATCCACAGTTCAAGTAAATAAATAAAATTTATTTTTTAATTTTTAATTTGTAGAAGATGTGTCTAAGTAAACCATATCTTTAAAAAAATAATAAACCACTTTTGATCTAAACTACAGATAATATTTAACAGTGGTAAGTGAAACACTAGAAGAGTGACAAAGTGCATTCAAGTACAAGATGGAGGCATCAAAATAATCAACGAAATTCAAGGACAGTGATATGCAGTCCCCGATAAAACCGAAAAAAGCACATTCCAAAAACAAGAGCCTCTCGTGCATATGTTTAAACCCAAACCATACAGGAAAAAAAGTTCTGCAGCAAACCACTTATCTGTACCTCCATCGTTTACACCACCGCTAATGCACGAGGCTTAAAAGTGAGTGACTAAGCCACATCATCAGTTACACAAAGCAGACTGTGAGGAGGAAGTGGAAGAAGGTCTTCTTCCTCACATCTTCACTGACGGGCAAGAAATTGCTGAATCGAAAGATTTTTTTTTTTTTTTTTTTTGCTTTCTGGATGATGGGGATTCGTGTTAGGGGGACATCCTACGCTCGGTGCTAAAAAAAGCACGAAAGTTAAAAGGAACGAATCTATTTCGGGTTGGGGAATGGATGGGAGAACCTCCGCCGAAAACTGTCGTCATGACACCTGCTGAATTACCAACTTACGTCTGGGTCTGAAAAGACGCCGAGGAGTCGTGGACCTAACCTTAATGTCTTTCGAGACGTTTCTAGAGACGCGAGGAAGTGGGAAGAAGACCACATTGTCTTTAATGTTTGTTACTGTTGGCATGCATAAGGGGTTATTAAGTTGGTTTAAAAACGCCTACAGTAAGCCCACTACATCCATAGCAGAATATGTGACAAAAACCAAATGGATTCCATTTGTTGTTAAGTTTCTCTTGTTTTGAATCAAAAGAGATTTAGAAATCTTTTTCGGTGTATTAACAGCTACAGTACCATAATTTAAGCATACCTCCATAATTTTAGGTACCTCCATAGTTTTACTCTATGTCTGTCCCGTATTAATTTTTGCCATTTTTAAAATTTTGGTAGATAAAGATCCCTATCAAAGTCGTCAACGTCATCATCTACTGTTGGCATGCATAAGGGGTTATTAAGTTTGTGGAAAAACGCCTACAGAAAGCCCACTACATCCATAGCGGAACATGCGAAAAACCAAATGGATTCCAGTTGCTGATGTAGTCCTTAAGTTTCTCTTGTTGGATCAAGAGGGATGTAGAAATCTTTTTCGGTGTACCAACCGCTACGGCCCATCCATAATTTTACTCCGTGTCTGCCCCGTATTAATTTCTGCCATTTTAAAAATTTTGGTAGATTAAGATCCCTATCAACGTCATCGTCATGAAAAAACGTCCAGGAGCCGTGGACTAACCTTAATGTCTTCGTTTCTGGAGAACGCAAGGAAGTGGGAAGAAGACCATATTGTCTTCATGTTTGTTACTGTTGGCCTACATATAGGGTTATCAAGTTGGTGGAAAACGCCTACAATAAGCCCACTACATCCATAGCGGAGCATCCGAAAAAAAACTAAATGGATTCCAGTTGTTGATGATGTAGTCCTTAAATACTCTTGTTGGATCAAGAAGGATTTAAAAATCTTTTTCGGAGTATTAATAGCTACAGTCCTAAGTACCTCCTTAATTTTACTCTATGTTGCCATGTATTAATTTTTGTGAATTTTAAAATTCTGCAAGATTAAGATCCCTACCAAATGTCATCAACAAACTATGTTGGTAGAGTTTCTCTATCTTGTATCATAAGTTCTATAAATAGTGTCCTAGTATAAATTTCTAGATCCCTCTTGATCCAACAAGATGATTTAAGAACTACATCAACAAGATGATTAAGAACTACATCAACAAGATG